AACCCGTTTATATTGATACCTTTTTAAATGACTTTTCGACACCTGTTGTCGATGCCTCAATCAACTGTTTTCTACATCACTAACGATTTTTCGAGATTAACACGTGGCCTTAGCATGTTCATTTTACGGGAACTAATCTAAATGTAGTATACACCCGGCATAAAAGTATCTTCGTTTCCACGCTAGCTAAGATTAGCAGACAGCCAACATTTTCCATCAGCATATTTTTCTCTGTATTGCACAACCTCCATCTTCGTTGACTGGAACATTTGGTGTTGTAGAGTGTATCTGAAGTTCTTGATATATCTGGCATCAGTTTATGTAGCAGGAACAATCCTTTCGACTCTTGTTCATTACGCCGATGTTTCCAGAGCCGGTACTTTTATATGCTGCCACACGAATACCGTAAATATGAATTCATACGTTGGAGTATTTTAACCACTGCTTGATTTCTTTTTCTAATAAATACGCCTGGCTTAAAAGGATTACGTGCTCCTAAAACATTGTTAATGGTTAATAAGAGTTTCACTCTTGTGAATATGTAGCAGACGCATGTAGCACTGTGGGTACTCATATAGACAGGGCTGCGGTTTGTGGCGTAGGAACAAGGGGTGTCGTATTACGCGGTTAAATTTTATTTTGGAAAAACTAACCGCTTGTTTAAGCAATTAAATTATTAACGTCTAAGTGCTCCACTTGATATATGACTTAATATTTTCAATTTTTTAGGTCAGTTTGCAATATGGGGCGGACTGTTCAGCGCGGTCGACTGTATGCTGGTAAAACTGAGAAAGAAGGAAGATCCATGGAATTCAATCATAAGCGGTGCAACTACCGGTGGCTTGTTAACCATAAGAAACGGTCCTGCAACGATAGTTGGCTCAGCGATAATGGGTACAAAGTTAGCGGTGCTTGGCTATTTTTCTGTCTAATTTTGTTTGATTTTCTGAAGGAGGGGTGCTCTTGGCAATGATTGAAGGAGTCGGTATTTTAATGACACGGTTCACTGCCGAACAGTTCAAGCCAAGTACGTGTTTACCATTTTTATATCATTTACACTTGTTTCTCTGAAATTTTAGTCCCTACCGTATTCCTGTTTTAGTGAACCCTCAGATCGAAGATCCCAGAAACCTCCCTCCGACTGAACCATCAAAAGCGTCGTCGTCATCATCATCCGGCACCTCAGAATCATTAGCACCTGGCAGCCATCCCTTTGGTTCACCAAGCCTTACGATGGCTTGACATTTGTACAGGTTCAACATTGTCGCGCCACAGGAAACGACAAAAGGCATCTCCTTTTTCTTGAAGCTGTTTTAACCAGAATGCTGTTCGTGATTAGCATAGTAAAAAGCTGCGTGCATGCTTTATTCACGAAAAACTACCTCATTAGCACAAAATGCTAAATACATATTTTAAAGATAAAAGCTGTTAATTGAATAGAAGCTCGAAGCATTTCGTCCTCGCTTTTGGCAGCTCGAATTTGCCAGCACGTTCATTCGATTCGCA